AAAATTTTTTTATGTACTATCTTACAGTGCCCTGGTACCCAACAGACAATGATATGCTGTTGGGATGAATAAACTGTGCGTAAAAATGAGTAAAGTGATACTAGGACGAGGTTCTTGTGTTTTTTAGGAGTTTTCAGAGCTTTTACCACACTGAGGGAATCTGTGTATATTACCATCTTTAGTTTTATCTATTTGGTGTGTTTTACGGTTGCCAGTATTGCATAAGCTACTCCTGTGAAAGTTTTTGTATCAGGATGGAGAATGCCGGCCTCTGAAAAGGATTGGCCTACCACTGCATATAACACAGAAGTGTTAGACTTTGAGGCATCGGTAAAGAACTCTGGGCATGTTTATTTATCTAGTAGTTCGAGGAAGTATGTATGAATGTGTGCAAACGGCGCATGCTCTGTGACTTCCATAAAAGAGACATCACAGTCTATAAGCTGCCACTGCCACGGCGGCAGATATGCAGCAGGAGCCATCAAACTGTGTTCAAGAAGTGGCACACCTGTTTCTTCGGTGAGGCTCCTCACATGGTACGAGTAGGGCAGTCTCAACGAAGGACGGTTCTGGAACAAGCCAGAATTAGACAAATCACTAATTGTGAAATAAGAGGTAAATTGATTATCTGCCTTAACTTTTAGAAAGTATACAAAACACACGTAACATCTGTGTAGATGGAGCAACCATTCATTCTATTCCACATACAGGCTCTCTACAGGGCTAGTGCAAAAAGCACCCATAAAAGGCGGATGCCCAAGTGGTGCCCAGAATTCAGTATCTTCAAAGCACTTGGTGTTGGAGATTGATAAACAACAATCCCCTTGTCTAGACAAGTTCGATTTAGGCTTTTGTAAAGGTTGAGCAGGCACTTTTTGTCGCTACCCCACGTAATTGGAGATAACACATTCAGAATATTCATGGCTTTTAGACTCTTATTTTTTATATGTTTAATGCGTGGTATGAAGGTCAGTTGAGAGTCAAATAGTGTGCCCAAAAACTTATTCTCAATATTTACAGGCATACGCTGACCATGCAGGTCGATGCCAGGGTCATGGTGAAGGCCCCTCTTTCTAGAAAACAGGATGCAAGTGCTCGTTTGTACGTTCAGTTTAAGCCCATTTTCGTCCGACCATTGTGATATCTTGTTCAAACCTAATTAGACCTGGCGTAGGAGAGATTACGTGATTTAAAACCAACCTGTACATCATCAAAATATCTGAAGTAAAACATAAATTTGGTAGGATAGCAGGGCGCGAGTTCAATTTGACTAAAAAGTGTACAACTCAATACACCTTCTTGTGGAACTCCTGTTTCTTGAACAAAAGTATGGGACAAAGCAGTACCCACTCGAACATGCAATGTCCGATCGGACAAGTAGCTTTCGATTATTGCGAACATTCTACCCTGCACACGTAAGTGTGACAGGTCTTGGAGTATGCCAAAGCGCCACATAGTGTCATACACCTTCTTCTTATCAAGGAACACAGAAAGAAAAAAGTGTTTATGAATGAAAGCATCACGAATCGTTGCCTCGATACTGACAAGGTGGTCAGTAGTAGATTTAGCTTCTCGAAACCTGCACTAATATGGGTCAAGTAGGCTATTTGTTTCGAAGAAGTGCATTAGTCGTCTGTTCATCAGTTTTTCAAAAACCTTGCAAAGGCAGCTTGTCAACCCTATGGACCTGTAGTTTTGATGCTGAAGACGGGTCTTTGCCCTGTTTAAAAATCAGAATAATGATGGTTTCTTTCCAAGTGGAAGGCAACTCACAAGAAAACCAAACGGCATTATACAAGGAAAGTAGGCATTTTTGGGTTTCAGGGGCAGATGTTTCAGCATTTCGTATATTATACGGTCGAAGCCTGGAGCAGTTCTGTTACAGCAATTTAGCGATGCGTGTAACTCAGCTAAGTTGAAAGGTTCATTGTATGCATCATTGTTTGTAGATTTGCACTCTATTTTTTTTTCTATTCTTGCTTTGTAACAATGAAATGCTGGACTGTAATGGGATGAGCTGGAGACCTGTTCAAAGTGTGCATCGAGGGAGTTCACTTTGTCTTCCAAACCGTTGCCTTGTGTGTTTACTAGAGGAAGTGAATGTGCTTCTTGTCCTACTACCCTACTGACCAAGCTCCAGACTCTTGCTGCTTGTGTATATTAGTTGATTCTAGATATAAACTTCTGCCAGCTCTCCCTTCTGGCCATATGACGCATTCTCCTGCCTTGAAACTTGATGTTTTTAAAATTGACAAGGTTCTCGGCGGTTCGTGAGACTCGCAGCAGCCTCCATGCTTCGTTTTATTTTTTGCGTGCATTGAGACACACTCACTGTTCCACCAGGGGATGCGCAGTTTTCTGGGTAGTCCAGATGTTTACGGAATACACTTAGCTCCAGCTTAAACTAGAAAAGCAGTAAAGTACTGTACAGATGCCTCTAAGCTGGAACTGCAAATGTCAGTCCAATTTAAGCGAGCAGTCTTATAAAACTGGTCCCGATCGACTTTTTCTATGAGCCATTCGAAACGTGTGCAGAACATTCAGATGATGTTGGTGTATTAAATATTAAAGAAATATGGTCACTTCCATAAGGATTATTTATGACTTTCCATGTGAGCAAAGGTAGGAGTGATGGAGAGACATTGCTGAGGCCTATTAATGAGTAGGTATTGTTAGCGAGGCAATGTATGTTGGGTTCTTTCGACTTAGGAGGCATGCGCCAAAAGAGCAGAGGAACTGTTCAATTAAGCGGCACCGTGCATCGCAGCGAGAGTCACCTTGTAGGCTACTATGTTCCTTAAAGTACCGTAGGACGAGATGCGATTCTAGGAGTTTGTCAATTATTGACTGAAATTCGTGTTTGTTCAGTTGATGGTGTGGAGCTATGGAAATACTGAAAATTGCTACCAGTTTGTTGAAGATGACAGCTCGGACAGCTATTGCCCCCAGGGATGTCTGAAGGGATAAGTGTATACAGGCTAATCCTTGATTAACTATTATGGCAACACTAGATAGCGCGACCGCATCATCTCGGTCCTTTCGAAAAATAATGTAATTGCGTGGGTAGCTGGTGTGTTTCAATTTTAAGTGTCTCTTTTGCACACACAGCACTTTTGGTGCATGTTTGCGTAAAACGTCTTGGATATCGTCAAGGTTTCTCAGCAGTTCTCTGATGTTCCACTGTGCTATATGTGTCATAATAAAGTTGTGTGGTGCTGTGTGCAAAAAAGTGCTACTTCAAGTTGCAGGGATTTTGGGGCCCCGTAACTCGACGTTTTTCTTTCTGGGCACGCTCCAGAAAATTACGCCTATTCTCAGCATCTGAGGAGCCGGAGGGGTGGGACTTGTATTCATCAATCGTCTCTTGCAAGATGGCGTGTGGTACCTGAGGAGCAGGAGCATTCACAGAAATTTCGGACCTAACTGTGAGTGCAGTTTCGGACCTAACTGTGAGTCCAGCAGACTCTCAAGTCTGCTGAACCTGTTTGGCAGGAGGCAGGACAGCGCAGGCTACTCCAGTTATGGGTGCAGATGGCGCGACTGCAGTCACACTTCATGTGACACTCGCGGGCGTGAAAGGATGTGGCGGGGTGCCCTGGCGCGTCACATCTGCAAGGGAAAGAGATTGCTTGTTATGGAAGGAGAAGCACTGGCGCGCATCTTGAAAGTACAGATTGCATTTTGCTTTAAGCTCAAGGATTTCTTTTTTCTTTTTTCAGGATGGGCACGATTGCGAGTAGCCGGGATGGTCTCCTTCGCAATTCGCAAAGCAGGCTGCAGCAGTACAATTGTGCAATGAGTGTTCATTGTAGCTATATTTTGCACAAGTAGCGTGCCCTCTGCAGCTTTGCGATCTATGTCCAGAGTGCTGACATTTGAAACACCTACAAGGATTTGGTATGTAGGGCCTGACACGAAGCTTGCAGTAGCCGGTTTCAGTTGAATCGGGTAAGTCACTGGTACCAAAAGCGATAATTATATGTTCAATTGGTGTTTCTTCGTTGTCTCGTCGTATTACTATTTTTTGGACCTTCACTACATTCTGGTCTTGCCAGCCTTCCAATAATTCATTCTCTGATAATCCAAGAAGGTCATCAGCATAAATGACACCGGGGACTGTGTTCATGGATCTGTGTGGGCCTACGTAATCTGGGAGATCCCCAAACACTACTATTTTACATAAGTTGTCGTATTGGAGCTTGTTGCGAACCTCCAAAGGGAGGTCGCCACTTCCCAACTTGCCATGGTTATACGATATCCTGATCCGATTGGTTCGGCGAGTATTTTCAAGACAAGAAAAGGTGAGGGTGCTCAGACTGTTTTGTTTTCTTTCTGGCTATGCACGACATGCAACTCGAGAAAAGACCGCTTTGATTTTAGAAATAGGAACAGTTCGTCGGTATGCCACCTTTTCGGACGGCGATCAGGGAGTGGATGGGGGATGTTGGCGTTACAGATTGTGTAATGTTCAGCGGTGATGGTGGCTACCCACCGCCGAGCCCAAGCTACAAGGGTTGTAGAGTAAACACTTGGAGACGTCAGGAATGCAGCACCGCTGTAACTGAATATAACTACCTAAGGTTGGGCAACCATACAGGGTTAACCGTCGCTGCCAAGAAATTCGGAAGGAAACAGAAGAGAGAAGATGATAAGACAAATAAAAAAGCAAGATATAAAGACAAACGTGTAGGGAGAGAGAGAGGGGAAAAGGCGACTGCCTATTTCCCATGGGTGGGTGAGCCCAGGGGTGCCGTGAAGCAGGAGCCAAAGGGGTGTGTTGCCTTTGACAGGAGACCTTAAAGGTCCAATCACCCAGTGTAGGCTCAACCTTCAGGATCCCCTTTTTCCTGACATGGCTCAGCCACGCACAGCTAGGCGTGGGAGGGAGTCGAACTCCTCCCCCCACCTCCTGTTAGCTTGGATTTGTGGTGCCACTAAGCACCGAACGCCTGCTTGCGCAGATGCCCCTGCGGGGTACGAATCATAGAGGGCTCAACAAAAAGTTTTTCTACTTATGCTGCAGCAGTGGAAGTAGGCTCAGGCTTTTTATTTGAATGTGCATTCGAGGGAACGCTTGAAGACGGTTGAGGAGAATCAAGCCACAGAATCCGCATGCGAAGTCAGTGCATCGACAAGTTGCACCTGGTGAGTAGCTGCAAGTGGTCAAGAGCCTGTGTCCAGGCTTGTTCGTCTGCATCAGTCGCCGCTTTAGACACACGCCACCGCATAGCCCACCTGCGCAGGAGATCATGTTAGTGCTGGAACGCACCAAAGAGGACTGACAACCCGCAGCATAAATCTAGAAAAATCACATTAGCGGACACCCATCTTGCCATGGTGACCAGTTTGTTTTCTGTGAAACATAAGTTGTATTTTTAATTATTTCAACATTACCATTACAGTAGCAAAAAAAGAAAAAAACGAGCATAAGTTTTGGCGTCGAATCAAGGAGCTTATTCTAACAGCACTAAACAATCAACCGCAGAGACGAAACGTGGTGAAGCCTTCGTGTGTAACGTGTAGCCCACCCCTAGTAAATATGCAATTTCGAGTTAAGCCATCAGATCTAAAGGATAGCGCTCTCTTATTAAAATACGCGAACTTACAGCTTTTATTTAATGTAATTTCTCTACTTTATTTCCCCTTGTGCATACCTGTAAAAAAACACGATATATGGCAGGTTCTACGTACCACGAGAATCTGTTTTATGCGAAGCATGTGGAGGGTAGGACAGAAGAGCAGGGCACTGTGTTTTTTTAATTCAGCGAGACGTTAAAAAATTATGCTAAAAAAATATATATACATATATAGAAGAGACGCAACTTAGCGGTTGTCTTAGTTTTATTTCCGACGGTTTCGACTGGTGGACCGGTCTTTGTCAGGGTTTGTGAATTTCCCGATTCACAAACCCTGACTTATTTACAAACCTTATTCACAAACTTATTCACAACCCCCCAACAAAGACCGGTCCACTGGTCGAAACTGTTGAAAATAAAACTAAGACAACCGGTAAGTTTTGTCTCTTCTCTTCTCAAGTACGTTTGGCCCAATGGAAGAACTTCTTCAGTATGTATGTGTATGTATGTATTTAGAAGAGTGAAACTTTGGGCTAGTTGGTATTGCATGATGAAGAACGTACAGCGCGAACACAAGACGGGAATACTAAAGAAGGGACACAGACAAGCGCTGACTAGCAACTGAATTTTTATTAACACAGAAGCGGAAAATATATACGGAAAAAACAACAGAAACAAGAAAACTGAAAAAAATTTTTAGCATGACAAAGATTCTTCCATGTTATTGTTACATGCGCTCTTCTAGAAAAGATAATTCTTTGGCCGATAACCCGATGGAAGCCATGCTGATGCATCGCGACCCTTCTTTTGCGATATGAGCGGCTTCAATGATTTCACGAGTACGCATGTCCTGATGTCTGCCGATGATTGTTGTTTCTTCAAACAGGGGTGTGCAACCACAGGAACTGCAATGAATGGCCAAAAAACCTTCTTTGGCGTTGCCTCCGAGAGCACAAAAATAATGTGCGCAACGCCAAAGAAGGTTTTTTGGCCATTCATTGCAGTTCCTGTGGTTGCACACCCCTGTTTGAAGAAACAACAATCATCGGCAGACATCAGGACATGCGTACTCGTGAAATCATTGAAGCCGCTCATATCGCAAAAGAAGGGTCGCGATGCATCAGCATGGCTTCCATCGGGTTATCGGCCAAAGAATTATCTTTTCTAGAAGAGCGCATGTAACAATAACATGGAAGAATCTTTGTCATGCTAAAAATTTTTTTCAGTTTTCTTGTTTCTGTTGTTTTTTCCGTATATATTTTCCGCTTCTGTGTTAATAAAAATTCAGTTGCTAGTCAGCGCTTGTCTGTGTCCCTTCTTTAGTATTCCCGTCTTGTGTTCGCGCTGTACGTTCTTCAGTATGTATGTATGTATGTATATATATATATATATATATAGCACATACCTGGAAGTAAAACAAAGGTTAGTGAACGTGCTGGCAGCCCCAACAGCAATTAGAGAGAAGACAATGACACTGCGACCATCAACCTGTTGACCGCTCTTGCCATACCTAAAGCATTTAAAAGTCTCAACGTCGCATTCTTGGCCAATCCCCCAAAGTGGGTACGAGCCATATATTGAAGAAAAACAAACCTCTCTTGCACTCTCTTTCGCTACCTAATAAACGTCCCCTTCAGCAGTATACGTCTTGGTCATCTTCGTGCGTATCATGCTTTCCAGCTCCCAGCCATGATGGCACCCTCAGCGTCCCCCTTCTTTGTGATGCCCGGTCTATCACTATAATATACGGGATGAACCCACCCACTATGCCAGAGGAGATGATGCTCAATTCATCGAAGAACAATCGGTGTTTCGACCTCTTCCTGTCTGCTACTCTTGTGGTGTCCCTAGAGATATCTCGCGATTTCGCAACCGTCGACGTGTCGCTCCACGGAACGGTCCACCACTTGATTTTACACGACCATCCGACGACACGCGAGCAACACACTATGGCCAACCGCAACACTTTACACGATCGTCTTAACGACTGCACGATGACCCAAGAGCAACATACCTACCGCCAAGCGACGATTGGGTACACGCACACACCGACAGAGCCATCACTGCTGTAGCTTCGAAACCGTGGAGTTGTTGGCCTCCCATCATCTGAAGAGATTGCCTTCAACATGCCCGCAGAAAGAGATGCTCCCATTGCAGCACCTTGTGGTCCGCTGCAGTACTACTCAATCCCACCACCCTTCGGGGGAAAATCGGGAAATGTCGACGCGTGATTCGTCCAGTACAAGCGAGGGAGCAAGTCCAACGGCTGTGATGCCGCCGCTCAGCTCACCAATGCGGTCTTTTGCCTTATGAATACTCCACTTGTGTGGTACAAAACCACGAGGCCACGCTGAAGACGTGAATTGTTTTTGTTGCAGAACTGAAGGCGTGTTCTGGCGACTCAGGTGTCGAAAGGAAGCACCCTAAGTAGACATTGTCTCTAAGTGTGCAAATATATATATATACAAGAGTTCTATGCACAGAGACAGAAAAATAGAAAAAGGACGCTGGTTTTTTGCCTCTGATGCAGAGAGAATGGCTCAGCGTTTTTCGAGATGGGGAAGGGGAACTAAATATGACAGAATGAAAAAGGGATAGACATGGATGAAATGCACATACACATGTCGAACGGTCACACATGTTTATGTAACCTGTTGTTTACAGTTGTTGACCAGTTGTTACAGAAGCGGTAAGCTGTGATGTAGCGCTTGTGCTTGCGAGGACGTTAGCGCTGGCTAGAGCTAGGTAGACCGACTTCTTTAAATGGGGCTGAAGTTTACAATACACGTTGACCCAGCATGTAGCCAGTATCATAAAAGTATATATGTAATGCTTCTAAAATAAATAGCCAGCCCTGTAACCACAAGCAACATTTCAGCAACATTATGCCAGCATAGGATCTTTTTTCATAGTTTCGAGACCTGGTGTGGCTTTGTGGTAAGATCTTTTTTCATAGTTTCGAGACCTGGCGTGACTTTATGGTAGAATACTCTATTGGCACGCAGGATTCTTGGATTGGATTCCAGTTGAGACCTTGTTATGTAGTCTTTGCATCCATTGGGTGAATGCGGCTAATGTCATTTTTTCTTAATGCTCTTGCACTTGAGTCTCGCATGAGTAACAAATGTCTGTTCTCACCGTTCTCGTGTGTATATTAACTGTCCATAACCCGTGGCTCATATTCACATACCATGACCCGTGATATTCCGGTATGTGCCACACGTGTCTGGACGAAAGCGTTTCACGATGTACCCCTAGACAGGATTTTCAAGTTATTCATGCCATGACCAGCCAGACATATTTGTCAAGCCTTTTTACTCTTCTACAGTAATCTTGTTCTTCTCTAACTTAAAGGGGCGATCATGACAGCGCCAAAACGCAGGGAGCTAGATAGATAGATGGATAGATAGATAGGTAGGTAGGTAGTTTGGTAAGTAGATGGATAGAGAGATAGATAGAATAAATGCTCAAAGTGCCCGCAGTATGCGAAGAAACGCTTCGAACTAATAGCCCCGCACGATCTGCACACGAAACATTCGTGTAAAGCATGCTTATGTTTAATAGTTGGTATTTTATTGCGATAACAATTATATGGACACTCTCTGCTGGATTTTGCCACTGGCGTTGTCGTTGCCGTCACTCACTGTATATGTATACGTTTCTAGTGTATATATAGATACATGTATATATGTAAATACAGGAAAAAATAATGGAGAAAAAGACTACGGCATGTGGAATCGAATGTGGGACCTCTGAGTCATAGATGAGAGGCATTAGCCACTGAACCACTGAGGAGCACCTCCTTCAACGTTCAAACAGCAAGCTATTTATATCTACCACTTATCGCTGTTGACGGGCATCTTGGGAAGGAACTATCATATTTGCAGATTTACCAACAAGATGGCGCAATGAGCGCATGTCGGCACATCGTAAGGATTCGGCGGCGCTCACTCTCATCTCCCACGCGTACTTTGCCCTGTGGAGAGAAGGGGGGTGGACGCTTGCTTGTGTGCCTTTACTTCGCAATGGGGAGAATCGTACGCCTTGGCTGGCATTAGGCTTTCACTAGAATGATTCTGTTGTAGTTACTGGGCGCACAAAGGTCACTGCAATCATTACACGATCTCCATTTGCAAAAAGGGCGCGCTTTTCAGACACAGCGAAGTAACAACTGAGTTGCTTATTTGCGTTCGTCTCTATGAGTGAGTGCGTTTCCTACGTCCTTTGTGCTTGAGAAACACGGGGCACGTTTCGATCTGCTTGCCATTCTGCGCATGACCTACCAATTTGTTGCTATCACGTTTAATGCTTTCCCTTTGCGGAAAATCTGACTTTTTCTTTATTAACAGAATTATAGTCTTGTATTTGTCTGTGTATCAAGGAAATCATCAACATAAGTAAATAACGGCAGGGTGTTGCTTCGCACAAAGCTTTGCACAAGGCTCACACAAGGTTTCGTTTCAAGCATGTATGCTTTGAGCTGGCGTCTGCCCCAGCAGCTGATGTCGCAGATTCTCGAAGGATACTCTGGCATTTTGCTTTACATAGACAGTATTATTGTATTTAGCCGCATCGAAGAAGAGCACTTGATAAATTTAGCCGCAGTTCTACACCGCATAAAGGACGCTGGGCTTAAGCTCCACCACAAGTGCACCTTCT